GGAATCTTCCTTTACTTAGCTCCTGAGGCCAATGATTATGATTCATTAGCTGGTATAGGTTTTTCTAGGTTTTCTTCAAAACTTACAGCTTTCCAAACCCACCAATTCCTAATGCAATCCTTTATGTGAACATTGCTCCTAAACAAATTCTCAAGAATTACATTCCCTCCAGCAAATGTAACCAAGCACCGCTCGGCTCAGACGTCTGACATCTTGCAGTACTGCCCTGCAAAACCTGTCTGTATTGTATACTTCCTGATCTCGGTCCTCTGTGTAAGGTTTATTGCTGACCATTGAGCACCCCTTCTGGCAAGAAATGCGATTGGGAACAACCACCCGTTTCCTCTGGATTCTTCATCCTCAAACTTACATAATCAAACACATTTTAGAGTTAAAGTATACGGTACGGTCACCTTTTGGCCTGCCATGCTCGGACCTGTCTTGAAGCTGCCCATCGATCACTGGTTCAGTGAATCACTTTCCATTGGCCGCCTAGAATCCGTTTGCACTGAAGGCGGAGCGTGCAAATCTCAACAAACAACAACCCAAATGCAAACAAGAAACAACTTGTAAACAGCACGTGAACAAGCAAAACTGAGAAAGCAAAACGGTGGCCCATCAATCGAAGGTGCTTAAAGCTGTTGCGGAAGTACTCGGGGCGCTTGAGGCAGCGGCTGGCTTCCAACGAGTCTTCTTGTCAGTGCTCGCTGGCTGACGAACGAACGACACCTGCGCAAAGGAACAAAGGAACGAACGATCGAACGAACGAATGAATCAATGAACGAATGGATGGTCGATAAACACCTTCACTACTTGACTCACTTGACCCTTGACCGCTATATTGTTCAACGAGTGACTTGATTCCTGAACCTTTGATATGACCAGGAAGGCCCGTGATCCTCAATAATGCATATGTTTTAAGGGTCCTCAATTGTGCAAAGCTTTTTCCTGAAGAAACATAGAAATAGTAATTCTTAATAGTAATTTCTTAAACAATCCTTTGTCGCGTTGGCTTGCTGAGAGTATTGATAAGTATGGGGTTCTCAAGTTCTTCTCAACACTCACAGCTTCCCAAAGCCGTCAATTCCTTAATCAATCCTTTATGTAGTAGCATGAAAGGATTGCAAAGAATACCTAATGACAAAGAATTTTAAAAGGAACATGAATACTACAATCAATTACACAAAGGAATCCTCACAGGAACCCAGATTTGTTTTGGTGGTAGTTTATTATAGAGGGTCTCATTTGTTTGAGGGACAGGGGGGGGCCCTTTACTAATCAGGATCCAACATTAAGCCGCAATTACCATTGCTCCAGGACTGCGCGGTGAGCCGGGTGATCACTGCGGTGTCTCTCCAGGGCCGTAGCGCGGCGCCGACGATCTCCGCCTTGCCGCGCGTCCTCGCGCTGCCGGGCGACGTGCTGCCGTTCGTGCCCAGCGTGCGGGAGATCAAGCTCAGCAACTCCGGCGCTCACGCCACCTGGCCTCAGCTAGGAGCCAGAAGCTACTAGGGTGGAGGCCATCGCTATTAGGTTGGAGGCCATTACTATATACTAGTTTTAAAACATACTTATAGTAATAGCAAGAAGCTACTAGCAACATCCGGATCTTCGGATGGATCCGAATCCGTGGCCGGTCGGCCGTCCAGAGAAGCCCGGTTGAGGCGTTTCATCAGTCCCATGGCTCCGTCCCCATGGCTCAGTCACCATCGAGTTTGGACCAGTGTAAGTGAGCGACATGACATGAGGTTGGACCTGATGAAGCGGACAAGTGATCAAGCAGCTGTGCCAAACTGACGGATGTGGCGCACAAATCGCACAGGATGTGACAAAACCAACCCCAAAATACATGAAGCACAATATCTGAAAAACCTAGACCGGTGGTTTGGGTCCACGTGGCTGGCACCGCTGGAACCGAGGCCTCCTTCTTCCGAGTGCGCCTCACCTCCATGGTCACCGCAGATGCCAACTCCAGCACTGACCCCCTTTGGGTGGTCTCGGTGCCGGAGGTGGGCGTGAAGCCAGACCTGGGCGAGGCCAATCCACGTGGGGATCCCGTCCTGGAGGAGATGCGGATGCAGGTGCGGGCGTGGAGTCGGGCGCAGTGGTTCAACTCGGCTTCGAAGTCTTGGAGCGCAGACTTGCCGAGGTGGTTCCGTGATGTTTTGGGTCCATGATGGTCCATGAGAGGTATATGAATTGGTGTTTGGCATAGGGAGAGGGTGAGAACATTTGAGAACCTCCAGTTCTTTGAGACCAAAGACCCAAAGACCCCCAGGTTCCTCAATCCTTTGCCCAGTGCAAAAGCCCTCACACTCTTCAGGCCACTCGCCTGGCAAAAGCTTGGCCACCCTTGCCGCCTGAAGCTGGGCGTGAGGGTGCCTCACAGCTGCCTGGCTATGGCGCTTTGGCATCCTGCGCTGTGGAGCCTCATGAGGGGCGCATCCCCCCGGGTGGCGCCGTGACTGGCCTGGACATGTGAGGGTTTGCATAGAATGTTCAAACAGACAGACAAGATACTGCACACATGGTTCTGTTACAACAGAGGTGTGCTGAGAAAAAATCCTTTGCCACTCCAGGTTAATGTGCAGTGCAGTGCTTTTGAGGCTTAACAAGTTGCATCTTCATTCTTTCGATCTGTCCGCTGCCGGACCCACGGGTCCGCCCCGCGGGACCCATGGACCAGACCCGATCGGGTCCAGGTCACGCTGCGCGTGACGCTCCGCGTGGTCCATGAGTGCGACTTCCATGGACAGCTGGTCATCGACCTGCCCCTCGATGCGGAGTCCAGCGAGCTGGCGGCGGCAGCACCACTGAAGGTGAGCTCGGGCGGTTCGCTCGGGCGTTTCGCTCGCTTGGGAGGGCCTCACAGGGGGCCCCGGTTTGTATGTTTTTTTATACAAGAGGGTGTGCTGTAGATGTGCTGTTGTGGTGGTTTGTGTGGACCATGGTGCGCCACTTGACTTGGAATTTGCTGGCACATGTGGTTCAACTCAATGGTTGAGGTTGCGGATGCCAACCTGAAGGCATTGCGAGCTCGGAAACTGTGATGTGTGTTTGTCAAGACGTTTTGTGAACGAAGGCACGAGGGTGTTTTTGGCCATTTCAGGAGTACACTTTGTAACAAACCAACATGATATTATCAATGGCCAACCTCAATGCCATTTGAGCGCATTGGGATGAACTTTGCAGACCACACTCACGACAATCTGGATGATCATATCGTCATATCGCATGGATTTGAACGCTCGTCATATCCGGCCGAGGGCCCTCGAGCCCGTCGCTCGGTCCAGCCGAGCCGGTTCCGATGCGTCGCCTGACCGAGGTGGGCATCACCGCCGCGGTGCGCTCGCCGCGGGCGGAGATCCGGAGCCGCGACATCTTGGACTACGGCGTGGCGCCTGTGACGGACAGCGCCGGTTGGGGGTTGCACCGGCGGTTCGGCCGTTCGGCCCTTTTTTTATTCCAGGAAGACATGTTTTTGCGCGGATAGGGTGGGGAAGGCAAGTTAATGGCTTTAGGACTTTTGCCCAGAACTCTTCTGAGAGAGAAAGAGGGGAAACGAAACTTATTTAGAATTTAGACTGCTGTTGCCGCACCCGTATATATGCAAGGGCCAGGAAATGATGGCCATGGACCTTCCATCACGACCTTTCCTGTAGGTTGTGCATCTGATGCATTTGGAGAGGGCATCTACAGTGTTGCCAGAGAAGCAGATGCATATGGATCTGCTCACCTTCTGAGAATTAACAATATACAGGCAGAATGATTATGTTTTTGAGTAGTGAGTAAATGTGTCATGCTGTAGCTTGCCGTGTTGGTGACACAGAGCTGGCGTGCTGGTGTCGGGACGGTGGATCAACGAGATAATACAGAAATCCATGTTTTTTTTTCACGACGATTCTGGGGTTGCCTGGCAAACTGGCCTTGTTGACTCGTTGACCGTGTGCGTGTGCGTGACAGCGAGGGCGAGGGAGAGAGAGAGAGAGAGACCCACCTTTATGTAATTTACCAAACTTCGAGCCTCAAAGGATTCAATTGAGAAACCGTGAGATTTCAGGAAGGGGGGTCATGTGCCCGTCAGAGTGCTCGTGGGCATCGCGGTCAGCGAGGTGGAGGTGGTCAGTCCTATTCAGCACCTGAGAGGGAAGAAAAACGTGTCACCTCCTATTTCAAGACAATGGTGCCCAACCGGTCAAAGTCCGCAACCAATCCATCAAGTCCAGCGGCTCATCGCCTTGTTCATCCGAGGTGCGGGCCCATGCACGCCACACACTGAAAGTGGAGCTGAGCAATCCCACGGAAATGCCCATGCTGCTGCAGCTGCGGCAGTTCAAGGACCTGGGAATGGACTCATCGTGGCGCATGACCAGCATGATTCGTGTCGTGTTTCTGAGGTTAAATCAGGGCAAACAAAAGGGGCAGCCCTGAGTGCATTCGGTCCTGTAGCCCTTCCCAAAGCCGGCTGCGTCTTGCGGTCCCACCCCGGTGATCAGAACTAGACTAGACACAGCCCTCGACTCTTGGGTTGCCTCCCAGAGAAACACGTTTGCAAATTTTGCAAACAAATAAGGCCCGGGAAGGCCAGTGAGCTGATTCTTGCACGTTGGAGCGTAGATCAGACTGTCGGTGGTCGATGGTGGTCGCGCTCTGCACATAAAGGAGCCATTTGGAACCCAAAGGCTCCACAAGTGCCCGACGAAACTGAACAAAACCCTCCCCTAAGGCGTTTGGCCACCCACCTTGCGCTGCATCCATGGGGGCCTTGGCGTCCCTTGTGCTCAGATCCAACGAATTCGCCACCGGTTGGTGTCGAATGTCCTCGCCGCGAGGAGCGAGATCGAGAGGCGCACGTCTTCCCGGTGGAGTCGCACCGACAGGTGGTGAATCTGTTCTTGGACGCAGTGAACCAGCGAAGGAACCAGGGCTTTGCGGAGATCGCCTCGGATCAGTCCTTTGGCAAGTGGGGAAGGTTGGAGTGGGGTTCAGAGAATGATGATGGGCCATGAATGATCATAAATTGCCGATGGCCATCAGAATCCGTACCGCCTTGAAGTAAGCGAAGCTAAGGAAACCATTGACAGACCTTCACACCCTGCATCTTCTAGGTGGCTCTATTGAGTTCCACCTTGCTTGGAGGGAGGTATCTCGAGGACTACTGAGGTAGACGTCCAAGTGTTAGGGGCCTCTCACTCTCCGCTTTCGAATCGCCGCGAGGTACATGGAATTTCCGGCGCAGCCTTGGGTCCATTCCAAGAGCGGATGCATGGAACAGACCGGCCGCGGGAAGTTCGGCACCAGGCTGGCGGCCACCCACTGTCTCCATGTCTCTCCATGTCTCCGAGCATGGTGCTTTGTCAAGCTCCAAGTTCCGCAAGAAACACTGAACGGCCCCACCCTTGACGATGTGAGAGTGTCGCATCCGTTTTGGAATTGCATCCCTCGTAATGCTTGCACAACAAGGTGCCGCGCGCAGGGTCATGATACATTGTGTCGGAGAGTTGTCGCGAAGCAGAACTTCTTTCTTGTGCAGTTGGCTGCCCGACAGGTCTCCTGAGCATGCTGAGGATGAGTCGGTGCACATCGCGGCAGTGCCAGATGAAGAGGACCTGTGCATCCGATGAGCATCCTGGGTGAAGATCTTTTGAAAGGATTTGCCCTTCGCTGAGGAAGAGTGAGAGGGCTCAACCGATGTCAATGTGTTTTTTTCCTCTGAAGCCCACTCAGCTGAAGAGGCGGGTGATGTTATCCGCCAACAGGGCGAGCCAAACAAGCCAACCTATTACGCCTTTTGCATCCTTTTGCTTTGAATCACAGTGACCGGAATCCTGTGCAGAAGTGGAGACATCTTGTTTACTTCTCCTGAGATCGATTTTAGTGAGGGACAGGGTTTCCTGCAGGAGCATGTATTATGTATCTAGAACAAGACCAGCTTTGCAACCATCGTGCAGTTCAGCTTGAACTGAGTGGGCCACACCGAAAGGGTGCCCCAGACTTCCCCATGCACTTCCATGCTTAATGCTTGGTTCTTGTTGGAGCACACGTATGTTACATTATGTTACGTGCATCTCAACTCAGAATATATGTTATACTGTAGTTTTCTTGGATAATATAAATAATAAATATATAACTACATCAGTAACACCATCACATGTCCCCTCCAGGAATCCAACCGCAAGCATCAAACACTTAGTGACTTAGTGTTGTGAAAAGAGCAGCTGCAGCAACTCACGTACTTCAGCCAACTGTTGAACTCCTCCCACACCAGCAGGAATTATCACAACTCTACAGCACTGCGTCCTCCCCATCCATCATGTCCCCGCTCCCTCCCCCGGAAAAGACCCACATCGGCCCAGCTGTCACGCGGTGCGCGTCGCTACAGCCACCGTGTGGTGAGGACTTTGTGTTCTCGCCAGACTTCTTGGCGCTTTGGCCGGGGAAGTGCGGCGAGATCGAGGTGACGCTGAGGAGTCGAGAGGTGGGGAAGTTCGACGCCCTCTTGGAGGCGGGGGCACTGGGAAGAAAAAGGGGGGCGAGATGTGGGTCCCTGAGTATGAGATATGGTGGGATTGAGATGGGTTTGGAGAATGTGGATAGATGTTAGTGAAGGAATTGCAGGTAATTTGCAGATGAGGTAAGTGAAGTGGTGTTCATATGAAGTTGGGGGCCTCTATGAGTTTCAGACGAAGCCAAATGCCTTGGAGTGAAGTTGGGACTTGGCCGCTGCTGATCTTGAAGCGGTCGGATTCGTGCCTGAGGCAGTGGGCTTCAACTCCCTGCATGCGCAGTGCTTGGAAGTATTTGCGTCGGTGCAGCTTCCGCAACTCGGTGCCAGCTCCACTCATTACACAAATTATTTTGTATAACTATATCTAGTTGACATGAGCTGCGTTCTGGTTTTTCGAAAGCACCTATGCAGCGTTCTCCGTAAAGAACTGATGATGATCGTCGTCGTCGTCGTCGTCCTCCTCCTCCTCCTCATCATCATCATCAGCTCTGCGCCTGGCTTATCCTGTGGGACAACATCTCAGCAGCGTTGCTGATTGGCTACTTTATGCCTGCGTGCTACGCAAACAGAACTTGTCTACAGCGTGCAGGTAGTCTCGTTGATCTTTTTGTGGGCTATGCTGACCAAGGCTGACACAAAAAGATTTCGCTACATTTTTTGAGCCATCACTGCCACTGCTTGTCAACATGTGACTTGCCGCTGTTTTCATCTATGTGTCTTCTCTCAGGTCACCGGTCTTCTATACTGATCCATGTGGCCTATGCTGACCGGAGCAGATGAAATAGTGGCACTACTCACTACTCTATGCATTGCCTTGTTTTTTTCATCTATGTGCCTTCTCTGAAGTCTTCTCTACTAATGCATGTGCCTCCGTATGAACCCCTGCAGCACATTGGGACGTTCCTACAAAAATAGAAAACATAATCACCATCATTATCATCCTCAACCTCATCTTTGCATTCTCTCATCGCCTGCTGTGCTTTTGGACCAGCGTGTCGTCTAGTTCGATTCGCAGTCCTCCACTGCACACTAATTCTATGTTCGACCAACCCGACCTCGCGTTCTTGCGCCCCACCCCTGGATACTGAGGCTGGTCCGGATCAACACGCACCACGCCACAGGGCTGCAGATGAACACTGGTCCTGGCTTGTGGGGTTGTCATGAATCTTGCTTCATCCCCACAGCAGAGGGCGGCAAAGGGCACCCAAGAGTTGGTACAAAGCACATTAGTGCGCCAATAGCGCCACCAGCGGAGCCGCTAGAGGCATAGCATTGGAGGTTCTATATGCCCATAGCATACATCATCATGAGTGCCATGAAACATTCTTTGCCTTCTTCAGCCCATGTGCAGATTCAGATGAAAGTTGCAGATGGCAATTCCGTGGTTTCACGTCCGAGGCACATTTTCCCGTGACCTATCTCAGGAGAAGGGCTTCCAGGGCATCCGATCTCCTAGAGCAGGGTTCGTGAGGGTCGGAAGATCTCTGGCAGGTTTGAGCTGTACAGCCTGGCCTTCATTTGCTGGTTTACTGCGGAGGTTACCCTTGGGCGATATGTTCGATTCTAGCCTTCTAGCCAGTGTGCGCAAACTCGAATGGACGGATGACGGATGGAAGCAACCTCGCCAAAGAGTTCAACCATTTCATTTTACAGTGTATCAACCCAGTTGGTGAAGTGGTACTATATTGTATGGTATGACTGGTGGTGGAACATAGACGGCTATGGGTGCTCAAAGCCTTTCCCGAAAGGCGGTAGGATCTTCCTTGCTTGTCCTTGCTTCAGTTTTGTCAGGCGTCATCAGAATGCATCTGCTTTATGGAATCCAACTGTCCTTCAACGTTTGTAACAGTGGCTTCGACAAAGCAAAGCCCAATCAACCCCAATCCCATATCCTTTGGACAGCTTATTACTGTATATAGACGACCTTAGTGCGATCCTTCCCCATCTCATGCTTCGACCTACCCCCCGGCTTGGTCCGCTGGTCTTCGCTTTCCAGGACCACGTCCGAACCGATGGACGTGGAGTTGCGCAATGAATCCGATATGCCAGCGGACTTCCATTGGAATGTCCCAAGAGACAACATGGAAGCATGCCACTTGGAAGCGAGGAGGGAGGCGAAGATGGTCGCTTTTGGGCTTTCACCACGTGGTGTGCCTGCAGTGTTTGATATTTTGTGTTTGGACCTCGATCGCCTCAGCTCGGCGGGCGCGCATGCGCCAGCCTCAGCCCGTTCCTGAGCCTCTTTGAATGCCAGCTGAGGCTTAGAATGCCAAATTCAGCCAATGCAGGTGGGGAAAAACTGCCAAAACACGAAACGTTGCCCGATGGAGTTCGACAAAAGGACACTAATGAAGCTTGAAGTATAAAAACATATAAAAACAATTGTGTGTGATATCTTGAAGTGGAAATCAAAGCTACTTTAACATGACTCTAGGATGAAGCTTCGCAGGGGCTTGGCACTCCCTCAAGCCCTGGCATCATGCGTCCATTTCTGCTGGCGGCCCATGTCAGCTTGGGCTCATCATGTCAGATCTCACCCTTCGCCAGGGCCATATCCCACCGCGAGGGAGTCACAGGTGCACGATCATTGCCGTTCCCACCAAGCTGGTTGAAGATGGAGGCGCGCGGAAGAACAACATTCAAAAATATTGCACACACATACCACCGTTTAGCACTTGCAATGGCACGTGGTAAGCCGTATGAATATGTGTGAATCATGGAGATCGAATGATATTATGATTATATATATAATATGTATATGTATTGTTTTTCTTGTGGTTGAGTTTTTGTCAGGATGGCAGCGCTGTTGATTCAACGGAACATCATAACGGATCTCAAGTCTAAGTGGTGATGTTCTTCTTGCCCATGTCCAGTCTTCCAGCAGGGTGCCGATACTCCGTGCTCGTGAATGGGTGATTTAATGATCCAGCATATGATGTTTGTTCAGATGAGAGCTATATATGTTGATATGACGGACTCCATGTCGGAACCTGCGGAGACATTTATGAGGAGTTCCTGGCCTCAGTGGTCCTTTCATTTTGAGGCCCGGCCTGCTTGCCTTGCCAGCTGTTTGTGGAAGAGATCCTACAGCCGTTGGAGCATCTGGGCAAATAGGCATAGTTGATGCAAAGCATCAGTTTACTCTAAGGAGGAAAGCTCACCAAACAACCACATAAGCAATTCGCAACTCAGTGCGTCCAAATGCATCCAAATGCAAAAAACAGCGTTTCTTCAACCAAGGTTGCGTGTAACTGCGATCGTCTATGGCTGCGAAGTGGACTACGCCGTGGTGGAGCCGGGACAGCTGCCACCAGAGATCTCCCTGCAGCCGCGGCAAGCTGGGGAGTCCGCGTGCCCCGGCCAGTCGAGTCTTCAATCTTCACTCAAGACTCGATTTGAACATACATGGAGGTCCAAAAAGGTTTATATCTTCAGAAAACTCCTGATTTTCATGTTCGTGATTTGAAATTATGACATATTATGACCACGACCGCCCTGCCAGACCGCATGCAGTCGAAACTCTCCCGAAGCGGAGTAGGGCCCTAGTAGCCTCTTCCTAGTAGTACGGCCAGGAGACCCTAGTAGCTGATCAGTGCTGTGGATTTCTGGAGGTGGGGGATGGCGGCGTTCTTCCCACCAATCCCCGGCGCTCCCCACAGGTGCGACCCACGGGGCACCTACATGATCACCACCGGGCGAGCCTCGCGGAAGTTCCCCAGCGTGGACTTCGGCAGCTTGCCGCTGCAGCAGGCGAAGGTGACCCATGTGGTGCTGTACAACCGCACGGGGATTGCCACACCCTTCAGCTGCTTGGCATAGTGGGTCAACGGGTACCAGGGTCCCCTAATGGGGGTCCAATTATAGCTCCTTAGAGGTTAAGGTATGTCCACTAACCACCCCTATCCGGGGGCCCTGGTACATGGGTGAAACGTGAATTTCTTAGTTGCCATCCTTCGCATCCTTGGAGTGGTCGAGGCTAATTACACTTCGTGCCAATCAGGGAACACTCTTCTTAGGGAGTGGCATGCCAGGTCAGATGTACAGTCGTCAAAGCATATCAAAGCTAAATTAATTATTGACAATCGTGTTTGAGATGAAGGGTTGCAGTTTTCATCAGTTTTCTATAGCTTTCTTCATATTGCCACCAGAACACTGCAAACAGGTTAGGATTAGGATTGATTTTTTGCACGATTTTGTAAACATATTGGATACTAACCATCCAATATATGACACTGTATAATTTATCTATCAGTATATATAGATCACGAATCATGTTGTTTCTCTCGGCAGGCGTCAAGATCGACAAGAACCCTGCCTTCGATCCTTTGGTAAAGGGTCGAAAAATTGGCGACAACCTCGATGCTTCGACCCGCATGTACGCGCTCATCAATCAATCAGGTCGGATAGGCAGCAGAATGCCTAAGCATGCTCACACACACACACACACACTCACGACTTAAGATAAACCCATGTGGTTCCTTTATATGAAGGAACACGGTTTGAACGAATTCTTTTTCTCTCAAGCTGGTTCATGCCCACATCCTTTTCCGTAGGGTCTTTCTTAGACCTCCTGCGGCTGGGGGTTGAGTCCAATTGGTTTGGGCTTTCTTGCCCTGTTCACTGCGGAGCTCCTTCCGTAGTTGCCCTGGTCCTCTCCTTTTCGTCCGGACTTGGACTCGGCCTCTTCCTCGGGGCCTCTTGCTTCCTGATCCTGCTCATACGAGTGGAGGTGTTGGAAAAGAAGGTGATTGAGCTTGAGAAAGGGCATCACGACGACTTTGAGTTGGTATCAGCCGCTCCCCGTGCACCAAGTCCAGCAAGGACATCATCCAGCTCGTCGAGCTACAACGCCCTTGCCCTTGAGATCCCTGAATTGCCTAGTGAGGCTTTGCGGCTTTGTGGCTTTGTGGTAACTTGCGTGGTGGCAAGCTATCCTTTCAGCAACGAGCTCTTCGTGCTTGGCAGGCCGGCTATTGGGCAAGATTTGTGTTGGAGGGACGAATTGGAAAGCCGAGGCCGTCATCACCTTGTGACCTCGCCAATTCGACCTACGTTGTGGTTCGAGCAAAGGGCATCACTGAGCCAGTCCGTGTGGAGAAGGCGGCTGACTATCGTGCATTGCTCGGAGACTTTTCTGGTGCATCAAGCCTTTCCCACGGCTTTGCATCAAAGGCCGAGGCAAAGGTATACTGCCTTGGAGTTGGGATCCCTTACCCTGAGAAGCAGTATCAATGGAGCTAGATGCAATTGTGCCGATCACCCAGGAGAATGTCGAGTCCTTTCGAATTTTCTGGCCTCCAGATCCTCTCCTTGTGCAGGCTCGTCCAGGGCTTTGCCTTGTGGTGATGGTGAGGCAAGCAGCAGGAGGTGGTTTGCTGGTTGCAATGCCTTCCGCCCTCGTCCCTGCTGGAAGCCTACCTGTCGATCCTTCGGAGGCAGATGTCATCGGCCCTCATACTCATTTAGAGGTTCCAGGGGTCCGGATGTCAGACATTGGAACAGAACATTTGGGCACAGATATAAGTCTACAGGTGGTAGACCTGGGGGTTGGAGCGCTGGCTGCGCTGACTCCTTTGTCCATGGTTCCGGAGTCAGAAGATCAGGGCCTGATTGGATTTGGCGAAGATATAGACATCATCCCCGACCCTTCTATTCTGGTCGATCTGGTCAGAGAGTGGTTGGCAGCCCAATCTGGCCAGCGAGCCGCCTTCTACTCTGCGGAAGAAGGAGGAGATTTCGTGGAGGAGGAGGTGAGGGCTGTTCCTTTGCCTACAAGGAGAGAACGAACGACGGCTATCACACCTCCAGATCCATCCCCGCGGCAGCAGAAGGTCAAGGAGCCGCCCAAGAAGAGGGTCACTACAGCAGCCCTGTCAGAGCAGTTGACTTCCCTAATGGACTTGATCCCGGCTATGACCGATCAGATCGCAGAGCTACAGAGGGGACAAACGGCTTTGCAAGAGACAGTGCGTCAGCAAGCTATGACCCCTCCAGTGAGAGCAAGCCAGGTCCCGGTTTCTCAGGCCGTGCAAGGGGTCAGCAACTTTGCAAAGATGGTGGGGCAGCCGCCCAGGACCAAGGCACTGCAGCCAGTCCCCCCGGGCCTTCCTATAGTGACTTCTGGACTCGATGGAAATGTGGCCCCTCAGACATATGCAGAGGAGACCAGCCCAACTCATCAGGTGGATCCATTTGCCCAGGCAATGTTAGAACAGAGCAAGGCTCTCATGACCCTCGTGGCTCAGATGCAACAGGGTGGAGATCCACTACTAGACGGGCAGCCATCATCATCCGGAGGATCCTTAGGCACCAGAGGGTCGGTTGGACGAGAACGTCTACAGAGGGAACTGTCTACGAAGTCAGGTGCTTTCTTTCTTGCTGTGTTGCAAAATGCTGTGAAGAGGCTCAGGCCTGCCAGCCCAAAGCCCCAAACGATCGAGGAGATCTCTGGCACCGACTTCTCGATGATTCACTATTTGGAACGCTTCGGCGGCTACGGGCAGTTCAAAGAACTGGGTCTGATCCAATATGCCCTTGCTCACATCACAGATGCTCTTGTCCATTCGGACCTCAATGGCGCAAGGGACTATCTCGCCCTCCTCATGGTGGGAGTCGACCAAGCAAACTTGGATGGCAACAAATGGGAGCTGGCCTACCGAATGATGCTTCTAGAGGAGCCACCATCTCAGCTCTGGAGTTATCGCAATCAAAGCTTCGACCCTCGGTCCAAGAGCTTCTCGTCCCTGGCCCCTCAGCAGTGGACTACAGTTGCTTTGGCTTATTCCAAAGAGATGGATTACATTCAGACGAAGCGTCAGGAAGTTACCCATCCAAAGGCCAGCAGCAGCGCCCAGCCTACCCTGACGCCGGGCCCCAAGAAGAAAGGCCGTTTTCCACAGGCCAAGGCTACAAGTCAAAATGCAGATCATGCTGCCTCCTAGCTCCGGCCCTTCGAGGTGACAGCAATTTCTCCTCTGGTACCTCCCCTGTACCTCCCTTGCCGACCTCCTCTACCTCAGAGCGGGCTTCCGCTTTACACGGTCGGGGGGGACAGGGGCGGGAAAAGGGAGATGAGGAGCAGGAGCAGCTGGTGCAGTCAGAGAGGATATGTGTCTATGAGCCGTCGGGGAACGGTTATGGGTCTATGAAGAGCAGGTCGTTTGAAAGTGATGCCTGCATGCCTGGAAAATTTTGTGAAAAGGATATTCATGCCCTGTCGTACGAGGAGTCGAACAATGACGGAGACTCCGATGACGATGGAGATGGCGATGATGGCATGGACCAATTAGATGCAACAGTCTGGCCAGAGAACTTGGGACACTCGCTCCTGCACCCTACGCCTTTCAATAGTTGGGTGCATCAGTTTGTGCGACAAGTTCTTGCTGCCAGAACCAGGTTCTCCTACTTTGTGATGAGGACCATTTCCGCCAGCCGCAGTGGTCGTAATGACATCACTGCTACCGCCTTGTTTCCCATCCCGTTCCCTTTTGAGGAGGCGTTTGTGGATGGCCCAGATTTCAGCAGCAAAAAGAAGAGAAGGACAAAGGCGCTGCAGAAGCTCATGCATCTTGCAGTGATGGCCTTGAACTATGAGCATGTGAAAAGTCCGATGACAATCTTGCAGCTGATCCGGAGACGTCCTGGTCCTTTGCACAAGGCTGTTTTCAGCCGGATCAAGATGTTTTTCGAGGCGTGCGGCCCACCTGCTTCCATCTCAGTAGCAGGATGTGGACGTAAGAAGTTTCAATTAGATGCAAGGCATAAGGAACTTGTGATGGCCCTGGCTTCCTGTGGGCTGAACCCAACTTCCTTGTATCATCGTGGTGCATCCGGCTGCAAAGTTCCTGTGGACAATGATGCTGCAGAGGAGCTTCGACCATACCGGCCCCTATGTGCAGACAGGATTGTGTTGTCAGGGTCAGGGAATTGGGATTGTGAAGAGTTTCTTTCTGATTTGCTGTACATGCACTTTGTGGAGCCTAGCATTCTTCGTTTTCACGTGATCCCGCCCCCTGGAAGTTTCCCTGACGCTGCCAGAGTTGACCATGAGCAGAGCTTCAGATTGTGTAAGGTGTGGGATGCAAGGCGGCTCTTGCGCCTCATTCCAAGGTCACTAGGACCAAGAGATGATGAGCTTTTCCTGCACACGAAGGTATTCGGCAACTACAAGAACAAGGATGTTGACAGGCAAATTGGAGACCGACGTGGGAGGAACTTCGTTGAGGGGCGAATCGCCGAAGGACCATCCCATGAGATTCCGAATGCTACGGCCATCCTTCAATTAGAGGTGAAGAGGCGCAAAGAGGTGCTTGTAGGAGCTGTAGCTGACAGGAGAGATTTCTATCATCAGTTTGCCACCTCCTACGAGCGATCGGCTACCAACACTATCCTCCCTCCTTTCCGACTCAAGGACTTTGCCGGCTTCTATGCCTATGCCCAGTTTCAAGAGGATTTTGGTCAGAAAAGAAGGCCTCAAAGAGAAACCGCTGGAGATTTCCTGGGGATGCCGAAGCCTCTCCTGGTCCAGTGTGATGATGATACTCCTGTGTTGGCATCTTTTGGTGCGCTCTTTCAAGGAGATCACCTCGGCGTAGAATTTGCTTGCTGTGCTCATGCCTCTATGCTGGAAGAGGCTGGCTGCCACCCTTGGCACAACCGCCTGTGTGCAAACCAGCCCATCCTGCATAACAAGCCTGTTACAGGCCTGGTCATTGATGACTTCTTCGTCCTCTCCTCTGAGGACATTTGCTTTGCAAGGGGCAGCTCTTACATTGGAGGAAGCAGCTCAAAAGTGTGGCTCCAGAAGGCCAAAGAAGCCTACAAAGTCCAGGGCGTACTTGGCTCGGATGACAAGGAGGTCTCTGACTCACTATGCTTTAAGATCATTGGAGCAGAGGTCAATTCTTCCGAAGAAATGGCAAAGGAAGGTATTGTGGCCGTTGGGTCCCCCGCTGAGAAGCGCTTTGGCCTTATGATGTTAAGTGCCTGTGCTGCGAGCTTGCCCTACACTTCGGACGCCCTGTTGTCCTCGTTGGTTGGTTCCTGGATCTCTGTACTACTTTACAGGCGACCTATGATGGCTCATATCAACAAGCTTTTCCAGGTGATCCCCGCTCAAGAGCTTGATCCCGATGAGCCCGTGCTATGGCCACTTAGTCGCGGAGCTGCCGAAGAACTCCTGGCGCTTGTTTGCCTGGCTCCTCTAGCAGCTTCCAACATTGCTGTGCCTTTTTCTGATCAGATCTACGCTTCTGATGCTTCTACGTTGAAAGGAGGATTGGTGTCTGCCACGGTGAGTGAAGAGCTATCACGGATGCTATGGAGGACATCTTTGAAGAAGGCAAAGAACCCCAAGCTTCAGAGCAGAACAGCTGCCCTACACCGCATCCATGATGCACACTTTGAGGAGGAGGATGTTTTTGAGGAGCGCGAAGAGGAGGGTGAAGAGGTTTCCAGACCGATTGGTCTATACTTTGATTTCATCGAATTGTGTGGTGGTGCTGGAGTCGTCTCAAGAGAGCTGGTGAGGTTGGGCTGTGTATGTGGCCCTGTTTTCGACATCAGCTACTCCAAGCGCTATGACATCACAGACAAGAGAGTTTTTGCCTGGATTGCTTTCATGTGTGAAGAAGGCCGGTTGAAGTCCTTTCTTGCTGCACCACCCTGTACCACATTCAGTCCAGCAGCGCATCCATGCCTTCGGACTTACAAGTTGCCTTTGGGCATTGATCCTTCTCACCCTCGGGTCGTTCATGGCAATGCTATGGCCTTCTCTTGCGGAGGCTTGCTGATGGTCGCAAAGAGGACTAGGACCCCAGGGATGATGGAGACTCCTAGGCGCTCGAAGTTGAGGTGGACGCCGCAATGGAAGCAATTGAAGAGCCTTGGGGCAGATGAAGTCTTGCTAGCCTCCTGTGAGTATGGGTCCCCACACCAGAAGGAGTTTGCTTTTCTGACGGTGGCCATGAACGCTCGATCTCTTGCCCGAAAGTGCTCTCGGACTCACAAGCGCATCACCATTGAGGGCAGGTATACCAAGCCTAGTGCTACGTATTGCGAGGGGCTCGCTCGAGCTCTGGCCTTGGTTTTTGTCAAGCACATTGAGGCCATCTCCGAGAGTGCAACCGAAGGAGCTAAGGTTCAAGGCCTTGAGGATGTTTTGTCGAATGAAGTGCTGCTTTCTTCTAGTTGGCAGCCCAGGGCATCATGGAAATGGAGGGGGTCCTCCCACATCAATATCCTGGAAGCTGCTGCCGCGCTGAGGGCTCATGAAGCTGAGGCCTTGAGGGGAGGTGACTTTAGATTTGTCTCCTTCATTGACTCCAATGTGGCCCTTTGTGCAATCACCAGAGGACGCAGCTCTTCGAATGCCCTTCGCCATCTCCTCAAGAGGTCCAGCACGTTGTCCTTGGCGTGTGTGCTGCACCATGCTGGAAGGTATGCTCCTACAAGGCTCAATCCCGCTGATCATCCAACCCGGGACACTGAGATTCCTCCTGCTTTGGAACCAGCGCTTAGTCTTCTTCGAGATGAGGAGTTGAGATGGCTTTCGTCTTTGTCAGGTATGAGGAGATGGGCATCTAACTGGCTCAGGCTCAGCCTTCTTCTATGTCCTTCCTGGACTGTCTTTTTCACTGAGCACTCATGCCTTCGTCGCTACGGCCCCGAGACTCGATGCTTTACCCCTCCATGGACTTCGATGCCACCCTTGGGTTTCCGGGTGAGGGACCAGTGGCTCTCCTTTTGATTGGACTCGTAATTCCCCTGGCCTTTGTAGATTTAGCCGGCGCGGTTAGTGCAAGCCATGGAGATGCCATTCGCAAAAAGCAGCGAGAAGGCTTTGAGCTGCCGGAAGGAACACGGGTGACGGCACTGACCTCGTCAATTCGTAGCCAGTTGGCGGCTGCGTTCAACGGATGGCTCAGGAATGAAAATTTGTCATTTGAAGGTGTGTTTATGGCAAACCCCCCTGACTATGACAAGGCCAACTCAGTGCTTACCAAGTATGGGAGATTTTTGTTTGCTGAAGGAAAGCCCTACTACCACCTCTCGGAGACAATCAATCTGGTCAGTGCGAAGAGACCAAGTCTTCGCCGTGGGCTTCAGCAGGCCTGGGATCTTTGTGCTATGTGGAGCTCCTACGAGCCTGTTGAGCACCACAAAGCAATGCCAGTACAGCTGTTGCTGGCTGTTCTGTCGACATGCCTCGTATGGGGCTGGGCCCGAGAGGCCGCCATCTTTGCTATGTGCTGGGGAATGCTGTTGAGGCCTGGAGAGCTGATAAATGCACGGCGCCGAGACATCATATTTCCCCAGGACGTCAGGTACTCAATAGACCACGTCTTGTTGAAGATCCTGGAGCCTAAAACCAGGTTCCGTGCTGCTCGCCACCAGTCGAGCAAGCTTGAGCCCGCAGACCTCATCCAAGTTGCCTGGATCGGACTGGGGAAGCTAAAGCCCCATGAAATGGTATGGCCTGGTTCATCGTCTACTCTGAGGCATCGCCTTGATAAAGTGCTCCTCAAGCTTGGCCTGCCGATCAAGACGACGAACAAAGAGAAACCTCTCACCCTTGCCTCCTTTCGCCCAGGAGGCGCAACGTATCTCATCAACCAAACAGAATCGGCTGAACTTGTGCGCCGACGAGGGCGCTGGATCTCATTGAAAGTCATGGACATCTACCTGCAAGAAGTTGCGGCAAGCACCTTCATGAATGACATCAGTGATGAGTCACGACAGAAGATTTTGACGGCAATGGAACAGTTCAGTGAGATTCTGCAGATGAGCTCCGGGTTTTCGGCTTCGTTTTTCCCGGAAAAGGTGTGGTATCTTTTGTTCAGTCAGCACGGCACCAGTGTCAACATGACTGGGACCAAGGGGCAAAGCGGGAGCCAAATGGCCTAGCCGCCACCAGTCCACCCGAGCAGAAATGCTGGCGGAAAAAGAGAGTGGCACGAGTGTCCCT